GAGGGCCCTGGGAAAGGCTATGCTAGGAACTGAGGCTGGCTGACACTAGTGCCAGGCTTGAGGACACTTAGCAAGAGGTATGGGTCATGCCAAGGCCAGCTGCTGCTTGTTGGGGGTTTGTGGACCTTTGAGAGATTTTAGGAAAGACCACAGTGCAGGCAAGATCTGTGGCTTATGTGGAACAGCCACTGAAAATGCTTGGACCAGGCAGGTGAGTTGGGTGGAGCCAGGTCTTAAGGGATCAGCAGGGCGGGGGTGAGCGGCGTTAACCAGGTTAATGGAGACTCAGGTTTGGCCCCTGCCTGCACCTGCTGGCTGTGTGGGGGAGGGCTCAACAAAGGGACAAGGGTGCCAGCCAGCCAGGACTTCAGTCCTGCCCCTCCAGCCCTTGCTCTGAAGCCAGAGGATTTGGTTTCTGTCCATGTGTCCCTGGCACTTTTTGAGCTGTTGCCCCTTCACTGGAGCCTATGGCCAGTGTTTGGGAGCGAGTGAGCCTATGCTCGGGCCCTTTAAGAGAGGCCGGGGTCGACTGCAGCCCTCCCATCACCTGGGAGGAATCCCCATGGTTTTCACAGCCAGGTAATGTGGAACTCCCCCTCTCGGCTCCGGTGCTCCAGGCTGGGGAGCCTGGTGTGGTGTGGGGCTGGAGCCTTGCTCTGAAGTGGAGACATCCCTCCTGATTCCTAGCTGCCAGGGGTGGAGCGGTTTCCAGCCTCCATCCCTCCTGCCAGTCTCGACATGGTGTCTTTTGTGTATCCTTAGTTTGGGGAACTCTGTCCAGCTAGACCGTGGGTGGTTCTCAGTGATGGTTGTTCTATAATTTAGTTGAAATTTGATGTGGGCATGGAGGAAGTAAGCACTGCACTTACTCTGCCGTCTTCACCCCAAGTCTAACCTCTTTGCAAGTCTTTTAAAAGACATTTGTAAATGTAGTCCAGCTAGGAGGCACGGGGCGGACTGGCAGCTGTGCCCCCAACCCTAGATTCCAAGGAAGCTAAGGCGTTTTCTCTTTTCAAGGGGTTTCCTCTTTCCTCTGAAGGTGATTGCTGGGAGAATCACCAGGCCACAGCAGAGGGTGGGTGAGGCTACTGCACCTGCCGGGTCAGGAGGGAACTGCTTTCAGGTGCTTCAGGAGAGAAGCCTGGGAGGAGGCTTGAGGTTGGCTGACAGGTGGGCGGCTAGCCAGCAGGCAAGCCTCATCTAAAGAGGAAGAATTCACCCAGATCCATAAGGATCCTTCTCTTCACTCACACTGCCAGATCTCCTCACCTCCTAAACCTTGCAAGGGATGGGGCAGGGACTACAGTAAGTCAAACCCACCATCACCTCGGGTAGGGAGCAGTGCTGCAGGAGGAAGGCTTAAAGCTGCACTAGGAGAACAGGATGAGATAGAAGGTGAGTGACTGAGAGGTCCCTGGGATCCCTTTCTTTCAAGGCCTTTAAAATTGATGAGGTTCCTCTGCTTCCAGGCACCATCCCCCTCCCAGCCACAGTGCTGGATGGATGGCCTTTGGGGTCTTTTTGCCAGTTAGTGTGTGACACATAGGCTCTGCAGATCATCAGGGAATGTCCTTTTGTGGAACCTGTGCAACTGGATTTGGGGTTGGAGAGGGCCAGGCCCAAGTTGATGGGATTAAGCATAGTTAGGCCCTTGGATGGCCACAAGTGGCAGGGCTGGAGCAAGCTGCCTGGAGGAGCCCTTGGAGCAATCACTTTCCCATAGATGGTCCTCAGTGCCCTCAGTATTAGAGCAGGTAGAAACCTTGCTCTTCGGTTCAGCCCCAGGGCTGTGAGGCTGCAGCCATCCTCAAAGAACAATTATTCTGTGGCTTCCCCTGAGAGGGTCTTCTCAGGCCTTGCGCTCTGAGGATCCCTAGGAGCTCTACCATCCACCGGGCATTTGGAAGGATCAGTGTGCCCCCAAGGGAGGAAGGGGTCTGGGACCCCTGCCCCGGAAGATCAAAGACCAGTGAACCAGCATTCAACCAAATAAATATCTGCTGAGTCAAATCCCAGGTCACCTTTGTCTGGCTGGGGAGGATGCTTCTGTGCCTGGGAAGGGAGCCCTGCTCAGCCTGGTTGGAGGGAGAGGCCTCTCTCAGCCTGCCCCGGGCTCTTTCTCCTCTAGGCAGCCCAAGCCCCTCACATAGGGGTCTCTCCTTCACTGTTCACGCCAAATTCAAATAATTGACTCACTGGTTTGTTTTCCCACTGGACTGTGAGCTCTCCAGCTCATTCATGCCTGTGCGATCTGTCCCTTGTTTAGAGCCTGGCACACAGTATGATGCTGAAGAAATCTGTGTCAACAAGTAATCACACAACAATATTGAGTGGTCTGAGCTCAACGCCTCTGAGTGGGACAGGCAGGGATGCTAGAGGGGTTCAAAGGAAGGTGTCCTCACGGCCGGCTTGGGTCAGAGGGACAGCCTTGTGGAAGACAAAGATTCGCCTTGATTTTGCTGCCTTGAAATCACTTAAACCTGTTTTCCTCCCTCAGGACAACTGAGGGCAGCGTTCTCCAGAATCCATATGTCTGTTCTCCCCCTACAATCTATTAATCTACCTCAGTTACCCGCCAGTCTTCTGTGATATGCTGGAGCTGGCTCCCAGTGGCTCCAGAGAGCCAATTGTGTGCATCTCTTCCCCACACATCTTGCATTGGTAGCTTGAAGTTGGCACGCTACAAACCAGTGCTTTTTCACCCTGGAAGAGCCAGTTGCTAAACTTGTATCAGCACACTCACCTCCTGCTACCTATTCATCTCCTTCCATCCTTTCTCTTCCCTCCTCTTAACTCTCACCTTCCCACTTATTTCTTCCTCTCTCCATTCTTGCCTTTTCTCGTCCTTTTTTCAGTTATTTTTCCATTTGCCAACTATGTACTCACCATCCATCCATCCATCCATCCATCCATCCATCTGTCCATCCGTCCATTTGTCCATCTATCATTTCTCATGTCTATTATCTATCCATTTCCCCACTCAGATTCATCTACCTTTTATTTATTTCTCCCACCCACCCTTCCACCCATCCACAAGTGTTTCCTGAGTATCTGCTCTGTGTCGGCCTACTCCCAAGGCTCAGACTCGTTCCCCAGACCTCTGGAAGACAGGTGCATGATCTCTGAGGATTTGCAGAGGCCCCCCAGTGCAGCACCTCGGGCTCAGCCAGCATTGACACTGGATCCATAACCAGGACCCTTTGGTTTCCCTCTTCTGCTCCTCCTTGGCTTCCCTGCTCTTTTCTCCTTATAGCCTGTTCTCACAGGTTTGGGGAGACACTATCAGAAGAGGGGGCATACCCCTACCCAGCAGACCAGCACAGCACTGCTCTTCCTCTCCCTCTCCCTCCATGCCCAGTGGAACTGTGCCTGGGTTTTGGAGAAAGTGTTCCCCACCCTAGGAGGCCCCATGAGCTCTTGGCCAACTTACCAGTAAGTTCAAACAAGAGGTGGCTCCTGTGGGGTCTGAGAACAGAGGCATCAGGTAAGAGGGAATTCCCATTATTAAGCCAGCACTCTCCACCCCAACACCACCCCACACCTCTTAAAACTCTGGCTGATTTGTGAACTGCTTGTCTCTGCTGTTGTTCCCAAGGATGTTATTGCAAAAGATTAGCTGCTTAGCCTGGTGAGCCAAAGGGGTGGAGACTCGAGCTTGACCTGGATTCAAGGGGAGGGAGGGAAACCCACTTTCCTCCATGCACACCACCCAGAACCTGCCACCCCAGCCATACCCATCTTCTGTCTGTCCCACCCAGCCCAGCCTGGGAGAGGCACAGTTATGTACTCGATGGGGGAGGCTCCCAGGACCATGGCCATGGGTCATGGCTTTGAAATGACCAGGTGGCATATCCTGGTAAGTGTTCCTGCAGGTGGTCCAAAAAGGGCCTTGGCTGGAGTAGTTTTTCTCACTTTCTTCCTGAACTCTGTACTTAATGATAATCACACTTGAACACTCACTTCTGAAATAATCTTATTTCCACACTTCACTGGCCTCCTTTTGGAGGCCTGGCTCAGAGAAGGTGGGCAGATTTTTCTTTCAGTCACGAGCAAACCTACTGTGGAGACAGATGAGAATTAAGTGTTTGGGCCCAGCCACCTGGCCTGGCATTGCTTGCATTCCCCTCATTACTGTTTTTCTGTCTTTTAGATCCAAGCAAGTTCTGACCTGCTCTTATAGAAATAATAAGGTCTGTATGCATCTTGTTAGGGCCACTGGGACAGCCATGATTTTCAGAAGCCATATCCCATTGAGATATTTAGGTGGCTCTATGACACCTTAGCTGGAGAAAGAACTTGAGCATCTCAAAGGCCTCGGGTTCAAATGTCGGTTCTCTCAGTTGGCTTAGGTCAGTGAGTTATCTTCTTAGAGCTTCAGTTTTCTTATCTATTAAATGGGGATCGTCGAACAGGTTGTTGTATTGATGATTACGGAGGACAGAGCCTGGAAGTTGGCAAGGTGAGTTAAATAATTGGTAGCTGCTTTGTTCCAAATCCTAAAATCCCTGGAACCCATTCCTTAAGATGAGAAACTTCACTGTCCCAGGCAGGGAGTCTCTCTCCTGAAACTCAGGCCCACAGATCACAAGGCTGTTTGGCTTGTATGACCCAATTAATAGCCCTCTATCCTGTGGGCCTCTTTGGACACCTAAGCTTTTGCCCCACCTGTGAGGACAAAGGCTCCCCACTTTCCTGATGAGAAAAAAGGTGCATCAAAAGGAAGCAGCCCAACTGGTTGCTGAGCTGTAGAAAATTATTAAACTGGGGGAGAAAAAAACGCTTCTTTAAAAAATGAGGTTAGGTATGAATGTGCAGGGTGTGGCCCCGTATAATTAGCGGCTCTGCTGGGAAGGCTGCCTAGTGTCAGGCTCGCGCCGGCTGTCCCTCCCCTCTGCGCCGCCTCCTCCCTGCGCCCACAGGTGTGTCCCAGGCCGGCAGCTGCCTGTCCCACTCCTAGCTCAGACGGCCACCAGAGAGGTCACCACCCTGCAGCCCAGGGAGCCGAGACAGCCAGCCCAGTGCCTGCCATGGAAGCCGCAGATGCCCCCCAGAGCAACGGGGCTGGCCCTGAAGCCAGGGAAGCTGGTAGCCCTCCAGGCCCCGCAAGCAGCCTGGAGAACGGGGCCAAGGCTGACGGCAGAGAGGCCCAGGCCACCAACGGGCATGCTGGGGAGGTAGCTGAGGGCAAGAGCCTGGGTGGCGGCGCGAAACTGGCTGAGGGGAAGAGCTCCCTGTTCCTGGGGGGCGACTGGCGGCGGCCCATCATCCAGTTTGTGGAGTCCGTGGACGACAAGGGCCCCAACTACTTCAGCATGGACTCCGGGGAAGGCAGGAGGTCCCCCTACGCCGGCCTCCAGCTGGGGGCTGCCAAGAAGCCACCCGTCACCTTTGCGGAGAAGGGGGAGCTGCGCAAGACCGTCTTCTCGGAGCCCCGGAGGCCCGCCGCGCCCGTGCCTGCGCCCGCTCTGGAGCCCGGCGACAGCCGCAGGGCCAGCTACCCCCGGGCGGACCTGGGCCCCCTCCTGCGGGCCAGGCCAGGCTCTGAGGAGGTCCTGTGTGACTCCTGCATCGGCAACAAGCAGAAGGCTGTCAAGTCCTGCCTGGTGTGCCAGGCCTCCTTCTGCGAGCTGCACCTCAAGCCCCACCTGGAGGGCGCTGCCTTCCGTGATCACCAGCTGCTGGAGCCCATCGGGGACTTCGAGGCCCGCAAGTGCCCCCTGCATGGCAAGACGATGGAGCTCTTCTGCCAGACGGACCAGACCTGCATCTGCTACCTTTGCATGTTCCAGGAGCACAAGAATCACAGCACCGTGACCGTGGAGGAGGCCAAGGCGGAGAAGGAGGTAACTTACGGGGCCTCTGCAGGCCCCCAGGCCTTCCCGCCCTCACGGGTGTCGTCCCACCTGATCTCCACTGGGGGTTTCTAAGATTTGGGGCTTAAATCTCCTCTGTCTCTGACTCTCCTTTGCCCCTGCACACCTCCAGGCTGGGGGTCAGAAGCAGCTCCCCAATCCTACAAGGCCTCAGGAGATGAGCAAATAGAGGCTCAGAAAAGATTGGGAGCTTGGCAGGGATCTGGGGATAAATTCAAGTCAGATCAGAGAATCAGCTGGGCTCTGTGACTGGGCTGTTTCTTCTTTTTTTATTTAAGGGAGAGAGAATTCTTAAATTCTCTCTAAGCAGGACTGGCCCCTGGGGAATGGGTCATGGGTGAGGAGGGAATTTGGACCTTTAAATGTCCTTTATTTCTGGCTTTAGAGTTTACATTTGCAGACGGTGACTTCTTGGTGCTCTGCCTGATCCCCTCAGCCCATCTCTTGCCTCCCTCGCTGGCCTCCCTTACTTCCTCCCAGTTGGGCCTGTGCGCCCTGTGTGTGGTTGCATGTGTAACGTGCCCGTGCCTATAGGTGGACTGGTAGTAAGGGTTGGCGTCTGTGTGTGGGTAGGTATCCATACATGTGTGCATGTTTTATGTGCATGCGGGTGCCTGTGTGCATACGTGGGTGTTTGCATACATTGGTGTATGTGATGTGTGCATGTGTTTGCATGAGTTCCGCTTGTGATTGCACCTGTGCTTCTATGGGCAGAGCAGAGGCGTGTGAGGCTTGTGAGTGTGTAAACTTAGAGGAGGTTCTCTGGTTTAAGGCTCAGCTTCAGCAGGGGCTCCTTGCCCCGCAGATGCTGGGCCTGCTCTGCAGCAGCCACACAGCTTCCTGCCATGGGCGCCTCCTGCTGGGGGCACCTCCTGGTGGTCACAGCAGGGGCTGGCTCTCCTCAGAGCTCCTTCACCCCTTAGGACCCCTCCATGCCCAGCCTTCCTGGCCAGCTTGACTACTCTCTCCCCACACCCCTTGCCCATACCCCTGGGCAGGGAGGGACACACGAGATGGGAAATCCTCAAAGATGCTTTCCAGAAGCCTCATTTGGCCCAGGAAGAAAGTGTTCCCAGTCCCCCCTACTTTCCCACCCCAGCCTGACTTCAAGCTTCACATGGGAGACAGAGATGGGACAGGGCCATGGAACCCATCTTCAGGCTCTTACTTGGGAAATAGAACAGAATAAGGGGCTTCATCTTCATCCAGGGCAACCAAAATATTGCACAACCTCTGACTGGGGTTAGGAGACCTGACTGAGTTCTGTTCTGGTTTTGACTCTAATCAGCTGTGGCCGGCTCCCTTCCACTCTCTCAGTCTTGGTTTTCCTATATGTGAAGCCAAGGGCTTGGACTAGATTGGTTTTCAAATTACCCCATGGAGTCCTAGGAGTGTTGAAAATGTCTTCAGGCCTTGGGACAAGGAGGGAGGAAGGTGCTGCCAAGAAGCCAAGGCTCCAGGCTCCCCCCACATCTACTACACGCAGCACACACTCTTATTGATCAGTTTTATATGCAGGGCTTGGCCCTAAATCTCATCTGAAACAAAGGTGTCACCACTGAAGAAAAGCCCTGGCGCCCTGAGGACAGAATGGTCCCAGGCAGCTCTCCCTGGAAGCACCAGGAGCTCAGAGTTCACGTTCTGGTCCTGGGGCCTCTGGAGCACTCAGAGGTGCAGTCTTGGTCCTGGAGGGCTCATGGTGTAGGTCAGGAGGCAGAGCTCAAACACACCAACAAGTCTGGGGAGCATCTGCCCAGCTACACAGCAGCTGCTGTAGGTGAACATCAAGTTACAGATCACAGAGTGAGTGCCAATCTCGTCCTCTCCTCTTCTCCTTGCAGGTGAGGAACAGGCCAGAGAAAGGAGGGGGTCTGTCCAAGCCTGTAGAGTTTGGGGAACAATCCCCATAAGTTCTCTTTCAGGATTTGAAAGCAACTTAGAAGAAAAGCTTTGCGGGGGTAGGATTCAGGCTACGTGTGCTTCATGGGAGCTTCAGGGAAAGTGTCTAATCCCCTGAAGTGACTTTGATGGTGTGAGCTTCATGTAGCGTGTGTGCAGTCAAGTCATGTGTGTGTGGTGTGCCAGCAGGCATGGGGTAGGCAGGAAGGCATGGTGGCCACCAGCCAGGAGACTGAGGGGGAGCAGAGCAGCTTGTCTAGGCCTGACTCTGCTGAAACCTCAGACGGGGGGGACATTGGCACAGAGTGGAGTTAATGAATCAAAATGAAGCACATCAATCCTGGCATCTTTCGGAAGCATCCCCTTCGGACCCAAACACCAGCCCCCACACAGCTTTTTACAAGGACTCTGCCCAGAACCTGTTATACAGGCTGGCTGGTGAAAGCCCAGGTGAGGTCATCTCAGACTGATCTTGGCTAGCTCCAGGAGGCTGTAGACAGCACAGCTGTGGGCGTTCACAGGCTGGGCCTCAGCTCTATCCACAGACTCCGAGCAGAGGCGGTGCTGGGCAGGCACACTTGGTATGGCAACATGACAGTCCTGGGGGACCAGAGTCAGAATGCTTTCAGTTCCACTCTAAATGTCATAGGGGGTCACACAGATACCCACCACCTCTGCCTCTGGACACTCCCAGGCTAGGTGGGGCTGATGGGATTACAGTGTGCATGTGCATCTTTCCTGTGTCTCAATGCCCTTCCTTCTGTCTATCCCAAGTCCCACTGGCTCTGGGGCAGCCTACCTGGCTTCTGCACCCACCTGTTTTGGGCCCGGTGGGGCTCTGGGTTGGCAGCACAGTGGGCTTGTGCAGAGGAGCACTCAGCTGGCGTCACTCTGGAGGCATGAGCTCCAAGGTCCTCAGTGCAGACCAGACTCCGCATCTCAGGGCCTCAGCACCTTGGCCACTCTTCCAACTCAGTCATTCGGCTCAGTTTGTTTCCCTCACCATGCCTCATAGCTTTGCTTCTCACCTCATTGCCCAATTCTTATGTGAAGGCTGAGCTGCCAGGCTGCTAGTCATGGGCAGTCACAGGTCTCAGCCGGGAACACTGAGGTGGAGGCGAGAGCTCTCTGGGTAGGTAATGGTGACTGGGCTTCAGGAAGAGAAGCCAGGCTCAAGGCCTGGGGCGTGATGGAGGGGCTGGGACCACTGTCCAGGAGATCTTGGGGGAACTCCTGCTCTGGGACAGGGTGGGTAAGAAAAGGAGGTAGGGTAATCTCTGTGGGTGCTGAGGGGGAAACTATAAAATAAAAGAGGTTTAGAGACAGGAGGCGGGGAGGAAAGTAACAGGCAAAAGGGCAGGGACACACCAGTCTTTATGGGGCACATCTACGTGCCAGGCACCGGCCTTGGCACTTACATGGTTACTCCTGACAACAGTCCCACCTGGTGGGGGTTACTGCACTGATTTTATAGACAAAGAAATAGGCTTGCCTTGGCCAGTGTGGCTCAGTGGTAGAGCATCAGCACACACACCTAAGGGTCCTGTGTTCAATTCCTGGGCATGTGTGGGAATCGGTGTGTCCCTCTCACATCAATGTTTTTCCCTCTCTCTTTCCCCCTCCCTCTCTTCCACACTCTCTAAAAATCAATGGAAAAAATATCCTCCAGTGAGGATCAACAAAACAAAACAAAAAAGAAATAGGCCCAGAGATGTCAAGAGACTTGCCCAGTGCTACAGTCCTGGGGAGTGGCAGTGCTGGGCCTGACCCCAGTGGGCTGCAGCCCAGGCTGCTTCCTCCCCACTTTAAGCTTTGTTTTTGTAGGACTGGCGGGCTCTCCTCGGAGTCGGGAGTCCAGTGGCTTCTAAATGCCGGCCTCTGACCTGAATTGCCTGAGGAGTCGTTAAGACAGATTCCTGGGCTTTGCCTCAAGAGGTTCTGAGTCAGGGGGTCAGAGCCTGGGGTCTTTATTTTTAAGATTCCCATAAGCATTCTAATATGTTGCCAGGCTGGGAATCAGGGATCTAGTTCAATTTTGCCAGGAGGAAACCAAGGCCCGGGGAAGTGGGGTGACTTGCTCAAGGACCAAAGCTGGTCATCTAGAGATGACCTGGGGGGTGTTTTTCCCACCCCACCTGCACCCTCCCCTGTCCTAACACTGAGGAAGCAGAGGGAAGGGTGAGCCCCAGTCAAGAAGACTAATGATGGGCCATTGACACGTGAGTGGAAATGGGGAGCTCTATCTAGCATTTCAGATTCTTATCCAGATAATTAACCATTGTCTGACAGTACAAATTTGGCAATTAACTGGTTCATTTGGCAAATGTCACAGCCAATGTCCCGTGCGGTTAATTCGGCCAGAGGAAGACTATGGCCTGATCTCCACTCTCCCTTCCCTGAGGGCAGTGTTCAGGTGTGTCTGCTCCTGGAGGCCCCATCCAGGCTGAGGTGCCACCAGCTGCTGTGCCACTCTGCTCCCCAGGCTGGGAAGATTTCAAGGCCAGGTGGCCTCTGCAGGCCCATCCCAGGCATCAGAGCAAGAGGCAGCTGGAGGGTGTGGAAGGGGGAACGAAGGAGGCGTCGAGGGCAGGCCTGGGCAGGGCAGAGGATGAAAGGGGGTAGGAGGGAGTCGGGGGAGGGGTACCGGGGAGCCCTGGGGAGAGGGGCCGCAGGCGTCTGGGACTTTGATCACCTACCGAGGGCGAGGGAGGGAGGAGAGAGAAAGCCGGGGCCTTGGCAACAAGGAGGGGAGAAAAGGGCGGGCAAGAGAGAGCGGGGCCACCACGCTGCCCACCCCTGAGGTGCAAGCGCCTGGTGGGCTGAGGTAGCAGGGGTGAAGGGGAGACCACGCCCTCGAAGATACGGACACTAGCCTAGAGGTTAAGAGGTCACGCAATAGCCACCGGCCTGGCTCAGTGGTTGAGCATCGACCCATAAACCAGGAGATCACAGTTCGATTCTGTCCGGGCTCGATCCCCAGCAGGGAGCGTGCAGGAGGCAGCCGATCAATGGCTCTCATCATTGGTGTTTCTCTCTCGCTTTCCCTTTCCTTTCCTCTCTCTGAAATCAATAAAAACTTTTTTTTTAAGAGACCACAGGACGGACTCTGAGTGTTGTTGCCTCTTGGCTTTGCCACTTTCCAGCTGTGAGAACCCAGGCGAACTGCACCAGCTTTCTAGGCCTTGGTTTCTGCATCTTTAAAATGGAGACGACACCACTTGCCTTCATGACGGGCTTGCAGATTAAGGAAGGGAGAGATGCCTGGCATGCAGTAGGTGCTCAGTAATACATTTAGGGCCCCTTCTTCCCAGTGTCGCAGGAGAACCCAGTGTCTTTGGAGCCTCCTATGTTATACTGTTTTCCACATCCTGCCTTTCACAGAAGGGGTATTGACAAGAGGTAAACAGATCTGAATACATCTCCAGAGGTCTCACGAACCCTCCTCATCCCAGAGGTGTGAAAGGATCGTTCTAGCAGCAGTTTGCAGTAAGGGAGCAGTAAGGTCCCTTCCAAGGTCCCACTGTGTCCTGCGAGTCTGCCCTTCCAGGATGTGCTGGGAGCAAAGCCCTCCCAGCCCATGTCCAAAGAAACAGGACTAGTCCTACACAATGGATTCTCTGCCCACTGCTGCAGACCATATGTCCCTACCTTTGACTCTGCCCTCACATGGTTCTGGCCCCTCTCCTCCTCCCCTGGTCACTGGCAGACGCCTCTCCACCCCTCAGCTAGCCGCGCAGTCCTCCTGTCTCCCTTGTTCACAGAATGGGCTCCCAGGGGCTGACTCCCTCTGCCCTTGGCCTAGGCTTTCTAAAAATTTTCTAAGCCTCATTGGATTCTCCTTCTCTGTGCTCAGTGCCTTTTTCCTTCCTCTTGGCCAGTGGATCCTGCTCATCTAGGTAAGACCTTTCCTTCACCTGCAGGCTCATCCCCCATCACTCCCAGGAGGCCCCCCGAGCACCTCTGCTTACTCCAGACACTGGACTCCGGGCCTTTACCTTCTCTGGTCAAATCTCCCACTCACAGGTGGTTAGTCCACCCTCACCCCCCTTTCCTACCTCCATTCTGGTTTCCCCAATACCCTCCAAGCTTCAATTATCCACGATGAGAGCCTCTATTTTGCATCTTTCATCTAGTCTTGACCTCCCCGGCCTTTCTGTGCACACTTCACTATGTATCCTGTGTACACACTATAGCCGGACCCCAAACAACGACACACACTGTGCTCACCACTAAATGAGATTTGAGCTGCTCTCACTGGCCCACTCTCCTCTCTTGCCTGTGCCCTGCTGGCTTGCCTGGCACTCTGCACTCACCCGCCAAGCCTGGTCCATGGAAGGTGCCGCAGTAGTGACACCGCGACCACCAGCCAGCTCTTTCTCTGTGCCAAGCACCTTCTGAAAGCTTCACTTTCCTGGTCCCAGCTAATCCAATGACCTCCCTGAGAGGCAGGTGGAGTGAATGAGGCACAGAGAATCGCGGAGGCCACCTGCCTGGAGGAGATGGTGACAGGATGGTGATTAGATTCCCTGTCCTGTGCTCTGGGCGGGCTCCTGGATCCCCCACTCATTTTGTTGAAGGGCTATCCTTCCCTTACCCCCCAGGCGCGAGGGGGAGTGTGCACTGCATGCGCTTTTACCCTCCGCTTTCCTCTCTGTCAGACTTTCTTTGGGGGATGGTAGGTGGGGGGAGAAACTCAAGTGCTGGTTCTTCCATTCTGCAGCCAGGTGAGGAAGTCACAGCTGCAGCGGGGGAGGCCTCAGCTGTCCCATCAAACTGAGGCCAAGCAAGAGATCTCTAGGGGTGGAGAGGCTGGGACAGACCCACTGTCCAGCCTCTGGTCCCTTCCTCACAGCTCAGAGCTACCTTTCAGGCCCAGACTTCTTGGGGCCTCACAGGCCACTGGCTCTGCCAGCCTCTGTTCTGGGCCCCCGAGCTCCGCGTGCTCAGAGCGTGGGAGGGCTGGGCCTCTGCTGCCCACTGTGGGCTCTGTCTCCCACTGCGGAGCCTGCTGGCAGCTGGCCTCTCCTCCGCCCTTCCCCAGGGACCAGGCCAACCCCGCCCCCCTTTGTTCTCTTCTCCCAATGCCCATTTTCTACCGCTGGTGACACCGCTTTCCGTGGTGTGGGGTTCCTGGCCCATTGCTGGTAGGTGGTGAGGGCGATGCTTTCTGAGAAGAACCTAGTCTCCCGGCTGGAAAGCCCAGAAGTGTGGGTGGGGCCGGGGAGGGGAAGCAGGGGCTCCTGTTGGGGGCTCTGCAGCCCCTGCCCCAGCTCGTGCCCACCTTCTCCACTCGCTCCACAGCTCTCCGGGCACCTTTCCCAGACAATCCAGGGCCACTCTCTCCACCATCAAGCCACTTCCCTGGGTGTCTGCAGCAGCTCCCCAGCAGCACCCGCCAGGCTAGGTGAAGTGGTGAGAAGGTGTGACGTGTGGTGAGGTGTGTGCCCAGCTGCCCAGCACCCCTTGCCAACCGAGCTTTCGTTCCTGGTTGTGGCTTCCTCAGCCTGACTTTTGTGGGTTCCTAGCAGAGATGGCTGGTGAAAGGACTGGGCTCTGCATTTAAAGCCCCATGTAGCAGGGAGATCGGTCGCCCCAAGGCTCTCTCAGATGCCTGCTCTCTCTGCCTGCCAGGTGGAGACCACCCACCTGTCTTCCAAGCTGGAAGGTGCTTTGAGAGCATCAATGGGGAGCCCAGCAGAACCAAAGAGATACCCCTTTGTTTGCCTGAATTGGATTGGCCTTAACTCATGCCTCCCCGGCCTTCCTGTGTATACTTTGACTCTGTTGTAGCTGCTTTTCAGAGTAAGACATTTTTCCAAAGGGAAGGCAAGTATGGGTATGAGAGTTCATGCCCCAGCACATTCCTGACAATTCCTCTCCCCAACTCGCCCAGACCTCAACAGCCTGTGCTCTGCCCCTGGTCAGGGGTTCCTAGCCTGCCTGTCCTTCTCTCATCCACCCATCACTGCCTCATTCGCTAACTTCTTTCCTGCCCTGAATCAAGTTTCTGTCCTGTCCAAACTTCAGACTACATTCCCCCCTTTTTAAAATATATCTTTATCGATTTGAGAGAAAGGAAGGGAGAGAGAGAAACATCAATGATAAGAGAGTCATTGATTGACTGCCTCCTGCATGCCCCCGGCTGGGGATGGAGCCCGCCACCCGGGCATGTGCCCTGGCCAGGAATCGAACCACAATCTCCTGGATCTTAGGCTGACACTCAACCGCTGAGCCACACCCGGCTGGGCTACATTCCCTTTTCCATAAACAGGTTTACAGCTGTGCCTGCCCAGACAGAGTCCCCGCCAGCAGCAAGCCTGGCTCCAACTTGCAATGCAGCCCTGTGTCATGCCATAGAAATGTTCCACACTGTTTCTGCCAGGGGACACTCCCTGGGCTGGGCTGGGCCGGGCTGGGCTGGGTCCCCTCCCTCCCCTTAGCAAGAAAGGGCAGGAGCTTTCGTCCCCCTTCCCAATGGCCCCAGGTAAGGAGTGGGAACTCGGTAAATGGGCCTCCCTCCTGCTCACAGTGGGTGGAAGGGCCTTGCAGAGGTTGAGCCTTGGAAATATGTGGCTGGGATGTCCAACCCCAGGGGTCCAAGTTTACAGTGAGATGGTGTTTTTGGGTCCTTGGCAACTGGCGTGGTGCCTGTCCTGTCTGAGGTCCCGACGAGTGCTTGTCGAATGAAGGACTGAATGGGAGAGTGAGCCCTGTCAAGCTTGCTCCCCGGATGGGCTCCCTGATTCTTCCCCTCCTTCCCCGACTTCTCCAACCCCAGTCTCTTCCCTGCAGACCGAGCTGTCACTGCAGAAGGAGCAGCTGCAGCTCAAGATCATTGAGATTGAGGATGAAGCTGAGAAGTGGCAGAAGGAGAAGGACCGCATCAAGGTAGGCGGCCCCTTCCTGGGGCCCTGCGTGAGGTCTCAGGCACACACTTAGATCCCACACTTGTCTTTTTCTGGGTTCTCCCACTCGCTTTGGCAGTCTTACCAATTCCTCTTCTAAGTCAGCCAGGCATCCAGGTGGGATCTCATTTTACGTCCCGCCAGGACATAAAGGCTCTAGGACAGCCTGCCTCCCAGGGTCCTCATTGTCTGCTCGGCACACCCGACACCCAGCCACTGAACACTCGCCATTTCCCCTTGACTTTGCCAATGTGGCCAGGTGCATGTCTGCATGGCTTATCATTGCAAACCATGATCTGAAGTTATTGACCTATGACTCTGGCCACATAATCACACATTGGTTCACTTTCTGAGTGATGTTTGGTCCTGGTTGAGGTCTCGGTGAGCACCCTGACTTCTGAGCAGCAGAGTTGCCCAAGGGTAGGGTGACGGCGGGAGGGGCCACAGACAAGTAGGGAAAGGTGGGCTGTAAAACACCTGGTTATCTCTATCAAAAATGGCATTTCCCAAGGATTCCCTGAGTGGGATTCTTGGCCGCACCGGCTTTCTGGGCTGGAAAAGCCTGACTCTGTGTTGGAAACTAAAGGTACAAAGGGCATAATCCAAAAACGCGAGGAGGTTTCCACATTACCGACCCCCCTTCCCCTGTCCCCTCGCTCCGGACCTAGAGTTTCACCACCAACGAGAAGGCCATCTTGGAGCAGAGCTTCCGCGACCTGGTGCGGGACCTGGAGAAGCAGAAGGAGGAGGTGCGGGCCGGCCTGGAGCAGCGGGAGCAGGACGCTGTGGGCCAGGTGAAGGTGATCGTGGATGCCCTGGAGCAGAGGGCCAAGGTGCTGCACGAGGACAAGCAGACCCGGGAGCAGCTGCACAGCATCAGCGACTCGGTGCTGTTTCTACAGGTGGCAGCCCTCTCTCGGTCCTCGGTCCTCTTGCCCCTTTCTCAGCCCCTCACCCTGCACCCTTCCTCCCATGCATCTGTCGTTCACCCATCCACGCCCCACTCCCTCTCTCCATGCAATGTTTCTATCCAAGCCATTCCTGCCCAGTGCAGAGATGGCACACAAATGTCACCTGGCACCAACTCCAAGAGAGGCACTGAAGTGCTCCAGGCACAGCAGGAAGGGTTCTGTGGTTGATCAGTGGTGCCTGTGTGGCTAAGAGATGGTGGCAGATAAGGGTGCATATTTGTTCTCCTCTGTCTTGTCCGTTTGTCTATCTATCCTTCTGTCTGCTAGAGGGTTTTGGATACTGCTGTATGCCTCGTACTCTTATTGGGTGTCATGGTTTTTGTCCCCATGGTGCTGCATGTAACTGGGAAGATGAGACCTGCACAAGCAGAGAACAGTATACACACGTCTGATTAAGTGTCAGGACGTGGTTTGGGAGATGGGTGCCTGTGGAGGCTCTGAGAAGGACAAGCAGGCTGGAGTGACAGCCCCCACAGAGAAGGGTCCCCAGAACTTCTAAAGACCCCAGAGATGAATGCCTTCTTTCCTTTCTTGGTAGGAATTTGGTGCATTGATGAGCAATTACTCCCTCCCCCCGCCCCTGCCCACCTATCACGTTCTGCTGGAGGGGGAGGGCCTAGGGCAGTCGCTCGGCAACTTCAAGGATGACCTCCTCAACGTGTGCATGCGTCACGTTGAGAAGATGTGCCAGGCAGACCTGAGCCGCAGCTTCATCGAAAGGAGCCACGTGGAGAACGGTAGGCCCCTTTGTCGGGTGGGGAGAGCCTGAGGCATGGGCATTTGTCTCTGGGTCAGTCCTTGCTTCCTGGTGTGGGCTGTCATTGTTCCCAGCCGCCTGTTGCACCTCAGGTGCTGGTAGTAGGATTCAGAGACTGTAGCCCCTCACTGAGCTTGCTGCCAACGTTAGGCAGCCTTTACAAGGGGCCTCCAGGGCAGGGGCATCTGGGCAGGCGGTGCCCAGGTGTCTCTTCTCTGTGGCCACCCATCAAACTCAGGGATTGGTCTCATTCAGATCTGCATCTGATTACCAGGCCCAATCCAGCAGCTGTGTGGATGCTGCCACTTGTAAGGGCCAGGTTCCAAGCTGGTGGCTTTGCAGACTCCAGTAGGTGTGACCTCAACTGCATCTGTGCTTGGAGAGAGAGCTTGCCTGCCAGCAGGACTTTGCTGAGTGGAGTTGAGCTCAGAGGCTCGTTCTGGCTTGGTGGGCCAGGCTGGGGACCGTGGAACACAGCATGGCTTGGTGACTCACCAGCTCTCCTGAAGTCAGCTTCCCTTCTGAGTCATGCTCCACCCAACAGAGGCTAGCTGAATAATCTCACAGAAAGCCTCTGAACCTGAGAAACTACCCTCTTGAGTCCTTTCCCACCAATCCCAGCCCTGCCCCTTTAGGTCCTGAAGCCTGGACACTTTCCCCAAAGCCCCACCCGCTGCCTAAGCCCAACACAAGCCTGATTAGTGAATTCTGGCTCCAAACACACCAAAGGAGGTGAGCCCTGTCTTTGGTCTCCAGGGGAAGCATAGGACTCATTGGGGATAAAAGTGTGCGAAAGTGCCAGGGTTCAGCAGGGCATCTGTATATCTTGGTGATGGTGACATCACACAGTGTCCCTGTGAAACTGGGGGACATTCAGTCACACCTGAGGACTGATAAGCTGTTGCAGCAAGACAAGCACTTGGCTTAAGCAGTAGTCGGGTCCTGAAATCCTCCTTCTAATGACAGTGATGACGATGCCAATGGTGAGGGTGAGGTGCTGGCTCTGTGTGAGCTCTCCACTCAGTGTCTTGTGTTCCCTGTGGGTTGTGTTGCATTCTACAGACCAGGAGGCTGAGGCTCAGAGAAGCAGCTTTTCAAAGGACACACAGCTAAACAGGGCAGCAGTTGGGTTTCACACTCTGCTACTCAGTCTCCCATCTCATCTCATCTCATCTCATCTGAGAAGTGCTGCTGATGGCCATGCAGACGGGTGGGGAGTGTGATGATTGCCGCCCCTGGGGTACAAACCTAGTGGAGGAGCCTCTCAGCTGAGGGTGGCCCTGACTGGGTCCAGGTGGCCTGTGAGGCTTCCAGTGCCCCCGCCTGCCATCCTCCCACTGCCCCTTTCTAGGCCACGACTGTGTTGGCTGTGGCCTCTGCAGGTGCGGCCCTGTGCCCTACGCACTGTGCGTAGGAGGTGCTTCCAGGAGCAGGGATGGGCGCTTCTGACGTTAGCGGCCCATACCCGTGCCTGGGGCCCTGCGCCTCCACGTTGGTTTTGTTGCTGCTACATTGTTGTTGGGCATGTGTTTGGCTGTAGGAAGCAGGAGACCTTGGGGTGACCGTCCCCTCCTCTCTGAGGCCAGCCCGCCCACCAGGCCAGGGTCTTCTCATTCTACCGTCAAACGCCCGGGGGCTGCGGACACCAGGCCATCTTCTTCCTGGGTTTGGGAAAGGGAAGGAAGGGGCTGAGCCAACACCTAGGGGCACATTTATTTCTCAAGGAGTGCCTACTGTGTGCCAGGCCTGCTGGGCACAGGTGATGGAGCTGAAGGATGAGGGCCTGAGCCACCCATTCCTCCTCTTGCCCAGGACAGAGGTGGAGAGAGGGCAGTGGAAAAGCAGGAGATGGGGAAGCAGTGCGAGAAGGGAATGGGGAGGAGGGCGGCCGGGAAGGGAAGCACTGAGCCTGCACTTGTTTGGGTTTTGAGGTCTGATGGGGGTAGGGAGGGGAGGAGTCAGTGCTCATTCTGAGCAGCTCACTCCTCTCCGCACACCTCTGCTCAACCCCTGGCCCTGGGGACCAATGCCAGGATATCGTTCCATCCCTGCGAGCTGCCAGCAGTGTCTGGGACAGAGCTAGGAGGTGGGGCTGGGCTCAAACCCACCTCTGTCACATTGGGCTAGGCCTTAGTTCCCTCAGCTAACGCACGGGGAAGGACTTTTGCAGCAGTGCAGGGGCTGACATACATACCAAATAAGAAATGGATACAGGAGTACCTTATAAACTGCAAGTGCTGTGCACATGACCTTACTTACAAGGTCTGTCCAAGGGAGGGTGGAGGCTCACCCAGAGCTCAGGAGCAGAGGGGATGCTGGGCAGGTTGTTGCTTCCCCTGAGGCCAGGGGCCCTGCCTCTCCCTGGGACAGGGGTGGCTGGGGGCTGACTCAGCAAAGCCCAGGGTGCCCCCAGGGGCCAGCTTCTCCTCCCCACAGCCCCTGCTGACCGACTTTGCTCCCCCGACCCAGGGGCCGACCATCGCTACATGAACAGCTACACCAACAGCTACGCGAGCGGGCACGAGTGGAGCACGCCCGACGCCATGAAGCGGTACTCCATGTACCTCACACCCAAGGGTAAGGAGGTGCCTTGCTGCCCTGTGGGAAGATGGGCAGGTCCCCCAGGTGAGGTGACTGCTCAGCTTGCCTGGGATGGTCCCAGCCCGCACCAGCAGTCCTGCCCTGAGCACTTACAGGGCCTCCTCCCTCTGAGAGCACCCTGGCTTAGGCGACATGCTCCGCAGGGGCTTCCTTCCCCTGGACACAGTCGCCCCCACCCTCCCTCTTCTCCAGCCCATACCCTTCCTTCGCCTTTCCAGCAGGTCTCCTGGGTGCTAGTGTCACCCACTCCCACCTGCCAGACCCAGCTGTGTCTGGCGCCTGCTTAGGTTTTGTAGTCTTGTGAGAGGGTTGACTCCCCCAGGGCAGAGACTGAGGGCTGCTCTCCTGTTTCCTCGCCACCCCCTCCCTGTGTGGGCAGGCACCATGCAGCCTGCCCTTGCCCTCGTCCTCGCCCTGCAGCCTTCCTTCAGGCCCTGGGGAGGCCCAGTCTGCAGGGGAGGCAGCCTGGGTGAGGTACAGACCAGTTCTGGCCTGTCTTTGCCCTGTGGTAGCCTGTCACATTCTTTGGCAGCAACAACAAACCCCAACAATGCCCTTTACATAAGGTGGGCGTACCTGGCCTCCAGCCTCAGACGGCGGGGTGTGCAGGCTTGTGAGAGGAGGGGAGTCTGGAGAAGAATTCTGCATGGGGAGAGGGCGGAGAGGAGCCTGGAGAAGGCGCAGGGGCCTGGGAGAGGAAAGCCTCAGGGCTCAGCACTGACTCACACACCTGGGACACTGGTACAATGGGTGGGGCGTAGGGGCTTGGGAGGGATGAGCTCAGTGGACAGGAACCTCTGCTGCCCTGCCCAGTTTGAAAACAATACCTAGATTTCTGGTGGAGGCCTGGCTGGCAGCAGGCACCTGATCCCCCACCCCCACGTTCCTGGTGTGGGTCTGCCAGTCCTGCCCTCTGCCCTCTGCAAGTGCTGGCCTTCGGACTTAGTTCTGTGAGACCTACACTGAGCAGCCACCTCAGCAACCCTCGGGAGGCCCTCTCTCTTCTAGCTCAGTCCTCTGAGGACCATCCCCAGATGGGGCATCAAGCCCCCAGAGTTGTCCCTGCTTTGCTCCTGGTTCTCTGGGTGTTGAGGAGAGTGCAGCTCCATGCAGACTGGGAGGAAGGTGGATAGTGATGAGGGCTGGAGGGAAGAGCGGGGGCTCACCAGGATGCCACCCTGAGAACCTTGGACTGTCACTGCCCCTCAGTACCCCTGTCTGAGAAGAGAGGAGGTTGGCTCCAATGCCGGGAGGGCTTCCAGCTCTGCCACTGTGAGTCAGGCAGTGACATTTGTAGGCGGAAGAAACAGGCTCCTGCAGTGTCCCTGCCCCTGCACTGGGGGCAGGGAGGCGGAGGGAATTTGCCCTCTAGGAGGTCCCAGGCTCAAGGTAGAGGCAAAGGAAGGGCCAAGGAGAGTCAGCAAAACCAGGAAACAAGGCCACCAAGGGGCCACCAGCTTGAGTCTGGGAGCTTTGGGGCAGTGGGATTGGTCAGTAAGGCTTCCTAGGAGAGCTGAGTCTCCAGGAGCCCAGAGAGAGGGCAGTGTGCTCAGCTCAGGGGTATGGCTGCATTGGCAGAGGGTGCTGGGGG